CTGCTCCTCAGAAACCCTATAGAGGGTCACTATGAGTCAGAACCAACACGATAGCACTTAAGAACTCACAACTGAACTGTAAAATCCTATCAGCATTTTGCCCCACCTTCTATCACCCAGACCCATCAGGTAGATTGTTTGGTGGGAGTTACAAAGACGATTGGTAGATGAGCTGTATATATATGTACTGCACAGACTCACACCACAGGGCCAATTCCCCACCAGCACCTCTAGCTGCTTCCATGGCTGAGGGCACTGAGCCTTTCCTACTCAGTTGAGCTGCTGGATCCCTAGGTTGGTAACCTGAGGGCGTACCTTCTCCACCCCTGGGCTCCCTAGGGACCCCCACAGGGATATGTCTATCACTGAAGGGGGCCTCCCTCAACAAGCATGCACAGTTGGGTACAAACACACTCCACCTTAGGCTTATTTCCAAGGCATCTGCTTTGTGGATGTACAGAATCTTGAATCTAGATGAGTCTTTGGTGACCATCATGTTAAGTGCCATGGGTTCTGACTCACAGAGACCCTGTATAGGGTTTCTGAGGAGCGACTGTTGAGTTTGAAACACCAGCCTTGCGGTCCAATGAGTACCGTACAGCACCACACTATGTGAAGAAATGGAGGAAATAGCGCAATTCCATGGTATAGAACTGTTGGATAAGCAATCCAATTCAAACCCACCAGCTACTCCTTGGGTCGCTATGAGTTGGTACCAACTCAAAGGCACTTTAACAATTCATGGAAGCTAGATTCCTAATATCCCAATTCAAACCCCTTGCCACAAAACTTCCCTTGGGGTTCTCAAGGTGGTCCCTGCTTCTGTATGTGCTGCCTCAGGGCAGAGACAGTGGCTACAAGCACCACTTTCCTGAGCCTACAATCAAAGAAATGCTTTGTAAAGTAACAGAAACACACCAGGGTAAAGTTTCAAATGGGGGCTAGATCCCCTTGGCCTCCCCCTGAACTTTCCCACTGTCCCTGGCAAGAGTCTACCAGTCCTGGCTTTGATGCTGATGTTACCAGGTGTATGATGTCAAGTATCTCTCCCACCCTCTCTGAAAGGCAGGGGATGAAGCCAACCAGGATCAAATGAAAGAATACCCTTAAAGCACAGCCCCTGGTACAAATGGCATAGTCAATGCATTACTTATTCCTGATCCTTGGGAGGTAGTAGCAGCAGGTCCCCCAGCTGACCACCCCCCCAGGGCCCTTTACCCCAAACCAATGAAGCCTCACACCAGCCAGCACAGAAAACATTGCTTTATTAACTGCGTTTGCCAACACACGAGGAGTGCAAAGGGCTCTTTAAGACACACGCCCTGACAGGGGCTGGGGTCAGGAAGCCCCCATGGAGTGAGCAGGACAGGATGGGGCTAGGAGCTATGCAGCAGCGGCAACACAGAATCATGCAGGGCACAGCGGGCATCAGCCACATCACGGTGGCCACACATTCTATTGCTTGTTAAGGGATTGCGAACATGGACAATGTACAAAAAGGAGAAATAGGTCTTTGCGTTAATGAAAAATACATTTTTTTCTCTACAAAGGAATCTTTTCTAATACAAGAAAATAAATATTGCAACATAAGCCAAAAATAATTTAAAATTGCTCTTTTCAATATATTTTCAATATTTCTCTTGTATATTAACAAATGGCACATCACTTTCTTTGAAACAAAGACAGAAGGTGTCTTCTCCTGTGACATTCATATCAGTCCCCCCTCTGTAACTGATGTGGATGGAGCACACAAAGCGGTGTGTGCAGCTGAGGGAGAAGGTGGCAGGAAATGCCTCAAAGAATAACCAAAAAGTTCCAGCCTCCAGCCCTGGCTCTTTGGCCAATGTGGCCAGCTGGGTAAGGGGCGTGGGAGTGGCCTCTCCAACGACCTGGCTGCAGGGATCCAGATCACTCTGCAGAGCTGTGTGCGGGCACGGACAGAGGTTCACCACATCTGGCAGAAAGCAAGGAAATGCTAAACCCAGCGGCTGCCAATGTCCAATCAGTATCGGGCTGCTGATTTTCAAGAGCTGCCTCAGCAGGTCCTAGTGTGTGCACATACCACACATCCACAGGCACTCACGCACACAGACACACTCATACACCCACAGCTGAAAACCTGGGTGGCTTCTCCAAGGTCACCCAAAGTCCTGACATCACAAATGCTTGCGCACTGTCCCAGAGTCAGACCTCATTTAACAAAATAAACCCTTCTACCTCTCTTCTCCTTATTTGTTTCAAAATACATTTTAGGATACACAAAAATACTTTCCTTGCACATTATCCCTTCTGATGAGGGGGAAAAGGAGGCTAGGATGGGGGTAGGAGTGACAGCCAGAATGAGTTACAGAGCAGCTTTTCCCTCCTTGACGAGGGCCAATGAATGTGGGCAGAGGTGGTCAAGTGAAAGATTTCCCTTAGCCTCTGGCCTGGAAAAGGCTGCTGCCTTCTCCCACTTCTGCCCACCTTGGCCTCAGGAGTGGCCAAACCCTCTACATTGTGGACAGCAGGCTGGAACAAGAGCGAAGGAACTATGGCTGACGAGGGAGAGAACAGGGACAGGAACACTCATCCTTGTCCTCCTCGTAGCTTGGTAGACATGTTGGAGGTGAAGACAGCTCTAGGGCCTGGCCTGACCACGAAGGTGCCACCAACCAGACACACCTGGGTTCTGGATATGACTCAAGACAGGACAGGCAGGCCCCAGGGATGGTCAGTCCAAAGCAACACCCAATCAAGGGGAGGCCAGACTCTGTAGACGCCACACCTGCTTCACTCTTCCCGACTCTCCACCTGCCCTCTCTACCAGAGAGCCCAGAGCCTGGTAGGAGATGGAGGGATGGGGTGAGGAAGCAAGCGCTTAGTCTGTGGCGGAAGCATGCCTGGCAACCCAACCCCTGGCAGAATTTGGTCGTTCTTGAAGTTTGTCCCTTTACTACCTGAGGGGTCAGACGGGCAATCTAGCACATGGATTGTGACAAGCAGGGGGAAGAGGGTTATGTTAAAAGGCAGTAAACCAAGACTGGGGTTGGTTGCTGATGCTTCAATGGCCACTACTACCAAGGCAGGCAGGTGACTGAGCCGTACAGGGTAGCTCATGCCATCCCCAACCCCCAGGACCCATGGCACCCATCCCCTCTGAGTCACTCCAGCTGGACACATTTGCTTGATCCTGTGAACTGAGTCAGTATCTGTTTCCTGTTTTGCTAAAATTCACATGAGAAACTAAGTGTCAATGACAACGCCACTGTCGTACCTTGATCATTTTGGAGTCAGGAGGTGGGTGGCCAAGCTGTTCCCCATCCTACTAATTTCCGATTTTTGTATTTGAGTGGAAGTACCACAGGAGACTTTTCCAGGCTAGTTTCACCATCTCTTCCCCACTGTGAGTCTCAAGAGTTAGGAAAGCTCACAGGGGACCCACTCCAGGATCTGAAATTCAATCCCAGGAGACATTTCATCAGCAGAAAAGCATCTTCTTCGAAAAGTCTGGGCTCTTGTCTCTGTGGGTAGGTGCGGCAAACATGCTGCTAGACTTGGTTGCTAAAGAACTCCATTTAAAAAAAAGTCCAAATGACAAGTTGTCAGGTCCAGGCTGTGCTGTGGTATGGTCAAAATATTCTTTGGCATCCATAGAATGATTCGATTGATTCACTGGACTTTTGCAAGGTTCTTGTTGGAGCAGTTCTGGCTTTACCAGTGGCGGAAGTGACCCAGGAGTAATTCGTAAAAGAAAAAAAAAATGTTTTCACGGAATTCCTTTTTTGTTTGTTCCCTGAGCTATCACCCTGGGGCCACTCACTGAAACTCTACCTGGGACACAGAGGGTGAGGTGGGTGGGTTGGGCAGAGGTGGGAAGGAGGGGGTCATGACCTGGGGAAGGGGTTAAGGCTCTAAGGGATAGAGGAACACAGGAACATCCAGCAAGACTTAAATCAGCCCCAGCAGGCCAGCACTGGCCCATCCTGGGCCCCGGGATCCCACTGCTTGTTGGAAGGATGAGTTTCCAAAGGAAACTGAGGAAGCAGCTCTTCATCTCTTAGCAAGACTGGGAAACTTGAAAAGGCAAATGGCCTGGTCTAGTCAAGGTCTGTCTGGGAGGGAACAGACTTAGGCCGAGACTGGCCCCAAAGGGAGAAGGAAGTTGGAGCCCCAGAGTGCTTCTCTGCGGAGGGCTGATGGGAGCCCCCCACTTCTGTCTGGGCACTGGCCCTCCCTTGCAGCTCCCTGCCTGTGCTGGCGGGCGCTGGCTGTTTGGGAGTCCCCTGAGTAAATGGTGCAGCCTAGGAAGGATTCTGGGAACCCCTTCCCAGAACTGCTGGGCTGGGTGCTGCTGGCAGGGGTGGAGCAGCATGGGAGTGAGGGTCGCGGGGTGGGAAGGCAGACCTCAGATGATGTGGGTTGATCAGGAACAGCATTTGGCTCCCCTGGAACCAGCGGGCCCCTCTGCACCCCTCAGTGCTTTCCCATAGAAGCTCGTTGTGCTTGTGACAGTGAGTAGACTCTGGCCAGGGATCGCTTGTTATACTCCTTTGGGGATCAGTGAAGTGCAGCAGGACCCCCCCCCAAATGGACCCCAGTGGGACTTGGGGGCAAGGTGGTGCAGGGCCTGGGCTGGTCCATCTGCCATGAAATAATGCCCGAGCAAGTCTGTGTTACCAGTGGCAGCGGACTGGAGTCCTGGGCTCTTGTCACCGTGCCTCCATCTAGCCAGGAGCCCGTGGGGCTGCGCAGGCCGGGGACAGGAAGGCTGTCCCTGCAGGAGTGGTGAGAGGACCTGGCATGGCCCTTGTGGAGGAATCCTAACGTCCTAGGCCAGCACAGAGGAAAGACAACAGTGTGGAATCTGACTCTCTCTACATATTAAAAATAAAACCGTAACAGAGTGGCCGCCTCGTGGGTCTGGGACACTCAGCAGAAACTGGAAATGGCAGTTGTGACTGGGCTGAGGCCTTGTGGGTAACTAGGGCAGGGCCCAGGACAGGGTAGGTAGGGGTGAGTTAGGAGGCTAGTACGCCCAAGCGAACCACCTCCTCAGCCCCTGCCTCCCGGGGGCCCCGCTGCACCCCACTGTCCTCCGCCTCTATGTCTGAATCGCTCATCTCCCCATCTGAGAAGTAGCCATCAGTCTCAGTGTCAAAATGTAGCCTGACCTTTGGCCTCTCAGCCACAGCAGAAGGCGGTCCTGTCCCGGCATCTGGCCTGGTACCTGGCGACCTCCGGCTTCCCTTGCTCTCACGGGGCAGCCGGAGCCGGCCCAAGGGCTTGGGGCTCGCCGTGGGGCCAGGCACTTGAACATTTGAGTCGGCAGCCATAGGGGCTGCTTCGTCTGGGGTCTCGGGGGCCAGTGGAGGGGAGCTTACAGGAACTGCTGGGATGGGACAGTCCCCGGCTGTAGGGCTGGATGGCAGGTGGGAAGGTGTCCGCCGTGGTGGTTTTCTAGCAGGTGGCCCTTGTCCCCCCTTGCCGCTGCCTGCGTCCTGGCCCCAGGGTTTCTTGGAGGGTTTGTCTGGGGTTGTCCGTGGACCTGGTCCATCCTGTGGCAGTGGCGGCTTTTTCTTGGTAGGCAAGCGGTTGCGACCACGGGCCTTCCTGGCTGGGTCTCCGGGTCGCAGTGAGGGGTCCCGCATGAAGCTGAGCAGTGTCTCCTCATCCTGCAGGAGCTCCTCTGATAGCAGCCCTGGAGCGGGGTCCTCGTGATGCCCATTGTTCAGCGACCACTCACTCATGGTCATGTTCTCTGCTGTGATCTGTACCGACTGTGCCAGCCAGCTATTGAAGAAGGTGCCATCGATGGGAAATGGAGTGGACAGGCCTGACGAGGGAAAGAGAGGAGGCAGGTGAGCAGGTGTGTATCCCACCCTCTCCTCCAGGGAGCTCTGATCATCTCCAGTACACAACTGGGTGTTCTCCACTCTTTCTCCCTCCTGAATGAGTATCTTGTTTTATCCATCCCTTCTGCGAACCCCATCAGAGTAGGGTCCATATCACATACTCCTCACCCCAGAAGGACCACTCACCTCCAGGGCTGGCTTGCAGGGTATACTGCAAAATGAAAATGTAGAACCCCTACTTCAAGAAGTATTAAAAATTTAAACCTGTTGAAACCAGACCCTTAAGCCAAGAGTGGGTAGGTCCAGTCCACCCCAGTCCTGGGGAAGGGGAAGAGAGGGTAATGTCCTCAAGCCACCAGGGGGCGCTGGACATTTATTGAATCATGCCTCCCAGAATTTCCAAAGTAACTTGTCAGGGGTGTGTGGGGTGGTGGAGTCCCTTTGGGTAGGAGGTGTCTCTTGTATGTCAGTGCCAGTTCTGGCTTTGGGTTCTTCCTCCTTTATTGAGGCCTTAGAAGGAGACAGCTGGTGAGACTGAGTCTCCTAATAGCCACTCAAGTTATCCCTTATCATGAGATGGGGGCAAAGATGAGCTGGGGTTATCTGCCTGGCCCCTGAGAAGTGTTCTGCAGGAAGCAAGCGACATCATGAAAAGATAGACTCTGCCCAGAGCCCAATGCTGGGGCTCCAGAGAACCTGTTGTGTTCGAAAGGGCAGTGGAGTTCGAAAGGGTAGTGGAAAGGCAGGGCTCACTGCTACTCTCTGTGAGGTTCTAGAAAGGTTCATGGGCACTGAGAGGAGGAACCCAATGGGGACTCTGCCACAGTGGGATGGGTTTTTGGCCAACCCTTGCCTCCCAGCACAGAGCTGGGTTTCTGGAAGGGCCCAGAAGGCCATGGGGCCCCCTGAAGGTCTCTGGGAAAAAAAACTCTAGTGTCCAGACGCCAATCAAAGGAATGACCAAGCAGTTCCTGAGTTTCCAGTTTACATAAGGGGAACTTTTCAGGATATGAGCTGTGCCAGAGACTCTGTTCACACCCGGATTATGTCTCATTCTCCTATTGTGTGCAGTGGAGGTGCTATGGGTCTCCTGGCCTTCTGAGGGTGGGCAGTGGAGTGACAGTATGAGCCTGGCTGTGTCCACCAGGCCAGCATGGCCACTCACTTACCCAGCTGCCCCAGGACAGACTCGTGGCCGGTCTTCACTTTTTCTTTCTTCTCAGGGCTGCCCTTTGGGCCCTCGCGGTTCTTGCTTTTTGAGTCGTTCTTCTTGCCCTTTGCTCTCCTCCCAGATCGCTCTGTGTCAGGGGAAGAAAGAGGAGAAAGGAGGCAGTTACTCTAAGTGGTCTCTTGCTCTCAGAATCAAGATCATGCAGATCATTTCAGGAATCTTCCATAAACCCAGTGCCTCACCGTCTGGCTCACCATCCCTGCACCCGTGCCCTGGGTGAGAGCTGTGGGGATCTCCTGGGAAGACTGGGCTCTAGTGGGTCAGAGGATAGCCAGGCAGGGAGATGGCTGCTCTTGAAGAACTTGGGGTTTGGGGGCAGAGAGGCCCACGTAAACCTGACCTATGTGGTATACTGGGCCTCTTGGTAGGTGGGAAGGCTGATTTAGTGTGGGTCTGGGAAAGGCAAGGCCTCAAATGGTGGGTCAAGGAACTGGACATGAAAGTGGAAACAATACTACCCAGGGGTCAAGACACTTGGCTTCCAGTCCTGATACAATGCTCAAGTGATCAGCCCCTTTGAGCAAGTCCCCTGGTCAGTCTACTTTCAAGATCAGGTAATTGGTTGGAGATTCTGAGTCCACACTTGGTCCTTGTATCCTTTCAGCCCATGACATGTAGGTCTGGGGAGCCACAGAGAACCAGAGAGAGGAAAGGGAAATCGCATGACACTCTCAGCCCAGTATCTAGCTAGAGGGAAGAAGGCTTTCCAAACAAGGGTTTAAGAGTTCGAATGCTCCTGCTTTAATATACTGTGCAACCTCAGGCCTGATGCTTCCTACTTGTTGGCCTCAGATCAATGCCTAGACATTTTGGGGGTCAAGGGAGAAGAGTCTGAGCTCCTTTTCTAGACCACAAGACCTTGCCTACCTGACCCTGACACCCCTGCACAGTCTCCATGCCAGCCTCTTTCTGGTTTCTTTAACAAGAGTGGTTCTCTGGCCTCTAGGTTTCCAACTATGCTGTTTCCTTTACTTTGATTCAGATCACAAATTAAATTACCACCACCACTGAGAGGCCTTCTTCTTTAGTCCCCAGACTGGAACAGGCCTCAACAAAATGTTCGTAGCCCATATCACACCCCAGGGGTCAAGAGTCGCTATAGTGTGGACATCAGTGAGTCATCCTTTTGCCAAATGCCATGCCCTGAACAAAAGGCTATCTGATGCTGTCGCTCAGCTCAGAGAGTTGCAAATGTCACTAGTGCGGCACAAGGTTGGGTCCTGCTACGCTCCTGACCGTGTTTTTAACAGGGCTTTGAGCCAGCTTGAACCGGTTCAGTAATGACCAACCTAGAGAAATTGGAACAGACCCAAATTTATAGTATGTGGGGGAACAGGAATGATAACAAATGGGAGAAATTACAGATCAAAGCCCTGAGACAGGAGAGTTGGAAGAGGTGTAAACCCTTTCAGGAGCCTAGGTTATTGCCAAGCTGGGACACCGCTGTTTATGACTCTATCTGTCAAGAGATTTGGTTGCTATGCAACATACACACTGCCCTTGTTTTCTAAGAGGAAGAAAAAAGCTTCTATTTCTAGCAGGGTGTTGACCTGTAATTTTTCCAATTTCAGTACATCCACATTTTACAAATTTGGGTCCACTCGTTTCACTCCATTGGCCATGACTGAACTGGGAGGCCCTAGTTTCTAGAATCCTGTGGTTACAGAATATAAGACTCATGATAAGTTTTCATTCTGTTTCTCTGGCTGGGGCCTCTCGGGCCTGGAAAGGCTCTCCTGCATGTGTGGCCACCGAAGAGGTACCAGGAGGCCTTGAGACACCTGCAGCACCGTCCCCTCCATTAAGCCACCCTGATACCTCCTGTCCCTGCATTCTCCTGTCCCTGTACTGGCATCAACTGTAGCCTCTCAGACACCACTTTCTTTTATCCTTCCAGATGGCGCGCTCCACCCATGAAGGCAGGAACCCTGTCCATTCTGTTCCCTGCAGGGTTTCTGTTTGGTGCTGTTAGCGCTCACTGAACACAAGAGGGAGCCTGGAGAGTTCTGGAAACCAGAAAGCTGCCAGTCTTGGGGTCCACGGTGAGTGCTGACCTTCACATGGTGGCAACCTGTCTTGATCCAGCACAAACACTTAGCAGTGCTGATGTCTCAGGCCAGAGTGGGTGATGATACCAAAGTATAATCAAGGCAGCTCAGTTCTTGGGCAGTAGCAGGCTTCAATTAATCATTCCCACGCAGCTCAACACTTCTCGCTCTACTCCATGTCCAGCCTCTCTCGTAGACTGAGCTAGTTGCGGAAGCCTCTGGCTCAAAACCTCTCCTCCTGCAGCTGTTCTTGTGGCATGTAATTTGACATTCGAAGATGATACTTTTGGGCTAAGCATCGCCTTCCTTAAAATGTCAACATTCCAGAAAGGGTCCTGTGTCTGGCAATATCCACAATTAACAGATAAGTGTAATGTCACAATTTCTTTGGCCTTCTATTTTCAGAAGGCCATGTGATGGTAAGAGAATAAGAGGAAAATGGAGATAAACCTACTGGTGCAGGGCATGAATGCCAAGTCACACAGGGTTAGAGAGAAACATCTTTGGTGTCACTGCATTCTTCAGAATCAACACCCAGGTAGACTGGGTTGGGCTCCAGGGAGGCTCTCCAGCTTCGGGCCCAGTCTTCTTCCACACTAGCAATTCTCTACTAGGAGCTTGGGTTTGCATCTGCGCACATCCTGTTTGCTCCTGAATTGCTATGTGCCTGGCGTTGCCTGGGTTCCCTAGGGAAGCTTGATGCCCACATTCTAACCGCTGGTTCCTTGCCCACCAACACACAACTAGGACACGGGAAGTTATTAATAAGATGGCAGAAGGCAGTGCTGGGGTCAGTGGTCTCTGGCCCCACACACATGCCCCCTGAAGACGCACCTTCCTTGAGACCCATCCTGTAGAGAGTGGCCAGTGGTGGGCAGGGAAGACGCCTACCTCGACACAGATCCTGTTCAATAAGTTTCATCTGTAGGTGGAATATCTGCTCCTGGAGTTTGCAGATGGCGTGTTTCGTTCTTTCGCGCCTTGTCACCATGTAGCACAGATTTCTAACCTGAGGAAACACAAGAGAGATTTTCTGCCTTACTCATAGGCTGCCACCCCTGACCTCCCAGCTCAGGGAGGAGCCTTGCATCAAAGCAGGCAGTGCCCAGGGCAGAGGCCTCAGCTGCCACCACTGCCTATCCTTTCCCAGGTATCTGGGAATCCATTCCTAGACTCCAGAGAGCATTCTTAGTCCTGTACCACAAATCTCTGAACCAAACAACAGGCCCAGGCCTAACCCTGGCCCTGTGGCCCCTAGCTGAGTCAAAGTGAGCAGAGGAGATCATCTGGTGAGCTCAAGTTGGTAACTCCACCTCCTTTCTCAGTCTTAATTTCTTGCTGCAGTCAGCCATGCTACCTCCCAAGGCCCTTCCAACATGGTGGCTCTCCCCTATAGACATAGTGGTCCAAGACTCATCAGAGCTTCTCAAGGTGCATCCTTTTGCCTCCTGCCTACAGCTTCTCCTTCACATCCAAGAAATTCTTCAGTCATAAAGCTCACAGCAAAAATCAACATTCGTCCTGAGCCACAAATGGCCATGAAGCTGGAGAGTACACTGGCAGAACAGTTTTGAGCAGACAGGTTAAGTCTCTGGCCCACCAGTGCCGCACTGCATTGGGACTCACGTCATGGCCAGGCTGGGCCAGTCAAGGCTCCCATATCAACATGGCTATGCTCACAGTCTGAAACAGAAGTTCTCAGGGGGCGGGGGCCTTTCCAGTTCCCCTAGCCAGAGGGAGGAGCCCCATAGCACCTCAGAGACCAGCCTGCTTAGTGCACAGGGCATGGAAGCACCTGAATGGTGGGTCATAATGCTGTCTGCCCACCTGGCACTCCACCCTCACCAGCTGCTCTCAGGGTGGGTTACACTTCTGGGGCCAAGATCAGGGCCCCTCCATCAAGAAGTCTCTTTGGCTTGGGGTCTTCAGCTTAGGATAGAGCCTCCAGCAGCAGGAACAGTTAGCCAAGATTTGCTGAACTTGAATCTTGGGTCCCACCAGAGTCTCTCTAGCACTTCTGTCTTCAGTAGGATCTGTCTTCATGGCTGAATTCATATCCTTAGGCTGCTTCTCGTTGGGGGGTGTCCTCTGAGTCCTAGAGCCGCCATCTCTTTGTATGATTGCCATTTCTCTATACTTGGGAATAGTTGTGATCTTAGACTTCTCTGCCAGACACTGGCTTCTTCTTTTCCTCCTTGAGCGTAATCATGAAGGAGATCCCAGAAGATCTGGTCCATATTCAGTTTTCCAGAAAATGGTGGCACTCCACACTGGTACACATCATCTCTTGGTTAAGATGGTGAAGACGAAAACATGGCACCACCCACCTCTGAGTCATAGCCCTACCCAACCCCCGTGGCCCCGGGCTCTGGCCTATTGGCTTGGCTTGACTTCCCCTCAAACCCTAGACCTCCTCAGGACCACCCTTGGGGTGCCTCCTCCCCACATCCTAAGCACAGGTTACAGCTCTGTGAACTGGTGCTGGGCTGGGTCCTAGGCTCAGCGCTGAACAATAATGCCTTGCTTCTCAGGGCACATACCAGCTCTTTAAGAGAGACAGGGGCTGAGCAAGTACTGACAGAACTAGACTTTGGGGGCAGTGAGGACAGTCTGCAGGAGAAAGGAGCAGCTAGGCTGAATAAAAGAAAAGTTTTTTGTTTTTTTTTTAAATTTTAGGGGCTTCACAAAGTTCATGGAAAAATGGAATGAAAAGATAATGGAATTTCCCCACAGACTTTTGGGAGTCCCCTCAGAGTATCAGAGAAGAGTCTTTGGATGCTGCAAATGGTTAGCATGCCCAGCAGCAACCCAAAAGGTTTTTGAGTCTACCCAGTGGTATCCTCAGAAGGTTCCCCATTTTACTTCTGAGAACAAAACAAAACAAACAAACAAAAAAACCCTACAATCATGGAATGTAATTCTACTCTCACACACAAGGCGTCAACGTGAGTTAGAATCAACTCCACCAGCAACTGGGGGGAAGAAACAAGTGGAAATGGCATTTGCATCAGTGTGTCTTGTACCCTGGGACTCCTGCCTGCTCATTGTTACAGGATCTCTCTGGGTGACCCTGCCATCCCCAAGGAGGCAGCGGCCCCTCCTGGGTGAGGCTCCCTCAGCATTTTGGGAAGGGCCTGGGCAGTGGGCTAACGTCACATGAGGTAGGACTGAAGAGACCAGGAGGATAGGCAAACGGTGAGCAGCAAGGAAGAGGAGCTGTGGTCAAGAAGGGGCTTTGGGGACTTCTGTGTTAGATTTAGATGCAGCAGCAGTTCAGGGTGGTGACTAGGTGTGGTCTGAATGGGGGCACTAATGGGTTGAAGCCCTAGAGATGAGCAGTATGGGAGCTGAAGAGCCAGAGGTCTAGAGGCTGAGGCCACACCAGGACTCCGGAGGCTAGCTCATTGTTGTTAAGTGCCGTTGAGTCAGTTCCGATTCATAGTGATCCTATACAGGAGCGGCTGGTGAGCTTGAACCACTGACCTTGCAGTCCTGTGCATTAACCCACAGTGCCACACTAGGACTCCTGAGGCTACCTAGGACAAAGTAAGTTTTGGTGGTGGTGGTGGTGGGACCGACAAGCGAAACATAATGTAGGCACCAAGAATTGATATGTGGGGTGTGGCCAAGTGACAAGGAGAGGGTAGGACCCACATCCCAGCTGAACCTTCTACTCCTTGGGAGAGCCAGAGGGAATGAAGCCTGGGGAGCTCAGACACGTCCATCATCTTGGGCTGTCAATAAGTTGTCCCACTCTCCTGAAGCCAGGTCCAGCCTGGAGTAAACTCTGGGTAACCAGATCCAGAGCTGACAGCTCAGCTGTCAGCGTGGTTGCTACGGGACACCAGTCAGTATTTGTTGGCTAGTCGTCACCGCTGCAATTTTTTGTGAGCCATGAATAACTCTGGGAAGCTATAGCAGCCAGGCTTTCCCGAGCTGCCTGCCACAGTCAGGGCCTAAGGCTGAGTTTTTAGGAAAGCAAATTTTCTGGGCTGACCATAAAATGGGATTTGGTGCTGAGGCTGACAGCAGGGCTCCAGCTCCCGCTTCTCAAGGACCCCATCCTGCCCCCCCTCCGGCAGGCAGCCCACCCACAGAATGCAAAACACAACCTCCTGCCTCTTCTAGGAGCCACGTTGCCTGTGTAAGCAGAGAAACAAGAATAACAGGGCCAACAGCCAAGGGTACTGTGCTATGCCTTGTATCCCAGTTTCCCCTGCGACCCCAGGGTCAATATGACCCTTGTTGTTGTTGTTGTTGTTAAGTGCCGTGGAGTCGGTTCCGACTCATAGCGACCCTGCACAGGGTTTCCGAGGCTGTAAATCTTTACGGGAGCAGAACGCCTCCTCTTTCTCCCGCGGAACCGCTGGTAGTTTTGAACTGCTGACCTTGCGGTTCACAGCCCGATTCGTAACCACTACGCTACCAGAGACCCTTAGTCCCATTTTTCAGACACGGAGAGGGAGATTCACAAGTGGGAAGTGAAACGAGGCACAGGAAGTGCTAGAACCGTATACAAACCCAGCTGACTCCAGGCCTGGCTCTTAACCCATGCTCCCTGATGGCTCCATGCCCAAGCTGGCCAACTGCCCGGTCCCAGGCTGGACACTCTGGGCTGCTGGCACTGGGCCATGGTCAGAGACCAGGCCTAGGCAGGCCACCAACAGTCATGGGTCTTCGCAGAAAGCCTCCCCCACAAGCATGGTTCACTCACTGTTACCAACGCGTGGCCATGAAAGGCCTTGAAAGGGGGTGAGCCTGGCACACTGCTGCGTCTGACGCGCTTTCTCTTCTGGGTCCTGCCAGGGCCATTCATCCCCTTGCCCTGCTTACAGCTGGTGGCCAGAGCCCTGTGTCCTCCTGGATCCTGTCTCTCAGCCCAGCCCAGCCCAGCCCAGCCCAGTGGCTACTAGGAAAGCAGTGTTTTCACTGGTTTCTCCTGAGGCCTACAAAGCTGTGCAGCTCCAGGTTCTCCCGCTGCTTTTTCCTGGAGAGTGGACTGGCTCACACCTGACCTTGGAGCACTCGCGCCGACCAGAGAGGTGAGTTCAACAACCTTGGGAGCTCAGGCAGGCATCCTAACCCCTGCCTGACCTGTGTCGGCTGATACTGGAGTGGGGAGTGCTAGGGAGGCTGATAAAGGCATTTATACAACAGAGGAGAAGCCAATATTTCTCTTGCCAACAATTCCTGCGTTCAGGTCCCAATTCGAGATTAAACCCTAGGAAACACAAGTTTCCCTATGATCTCTTGTCTCTTCATTTCTGAACCTAGTTTCCCCATCTGCTCAATAAGGCTGGGGGTCCAACTCACCTTTCTTTTTCTGGGGCAGTTGTGATGATTAAAAACATGAGGACATGAGTCCACCACCCTCTGGCCTAGGACCAGGCGTGGGGGCAGACTCCACTGATGACCAGCACAGACCAAAAGGTCTGAGTTGTCTGGAAAAATGGAGCAGGAACAAAAGTCAGGGTCCGGAGACGCTGGGGGTGAGGACTGCTTTGGGAGCAGCTATGGCATGAGGTCTCTTTTCACTACCTGTCCCTTCTTGACCTGGTGGCAGGCTGGCTCCTTCTCAATTCAATCAGGGTCTTTACCCCTTTGAGGAGGCCCCAGGGCAGACAAGTGCAGCAAAGGGGAACAGAGTAGATTCAGGACTTCTGCCTTGTATTTTCTGCTATACACCTGCCAACTTGTTCTACCCATTGCACAGACTTGCCAACTGAGAAGCAGATGAACATCCTGCCTCATCCTTGAGTTGCCCCAGATCTGGGGAGGGATTGATCTAACAGTGAGATGTGGCCTGGGGATGCCAGAAAGGTCAAGTTTGAGAAAACACTCCACTGAAGGCAGGCCCCACTTCCTCACCTTCTTTCAGGAGGACTGGGAAGAGTTGGAGGCCTTGGGGGGGTGGGGGTGGGGGTTTATGCTCTATGTCAGGTACTCTCACTGCACACATCTTCACAGCCCCATACATAATCTTGGCATCTGCAACCCTTCCTCATCACACCCAAAGCTACCACTCTGGATTACATCACCATCTTTTCCTCCACCTCAGCATACAGCTTAAGGAGCTCTGGTAGCGTAGTGGTTAAGAATCGGGCTGCGACCTCAAGGTCAGCAGTTCGAAACTACCAGCTGTTCTGCGGGAGAAAGATGAGGCTTTCTTCTCCTGTAACGATTTACAGCCTCGGAAACCCTGTACAGGGTTCCTATGAGTCGGAACTGACTCCACAGCACACTAGCAGACAGCTTAAAGGTATTCCAACCAGTTCACCCACCCTGAACCTGGAGAGTCCTCTTCTAGGTGTGCTTGCAAGTTCCAACCACTTAGGGGCACTCTCCGCTAATGCTTCTGCAGCTTTCAGGCATACTGTGGTTACCAACCAAGCTCCTGTGATCTACCAGAGACAAGCCCCTTCAGCCTTCGCCCTGCTCAGCATACATAGGCTGCTGCAAGTCCTCAGGCATACCACATACTCTGTCCTGCCTGGGTCAGCTCATGCTGGCTGGGCTGATACAACAATCCTTGTACCTGAGGCCCAGGCTCTCAGCACAGGGGAGGGTGAGGGTGGCAGCTTGGCAGGCCCAAGTTCTTTCCCTGGTTCAGATTCTAACTGGAAGCTCAAGTGTCTGGACAAGGCAGAGCCCTAAGAGGCCACAATGGCGGCCCCATGGCTTGTGTTCCCCAGCCTCATGACCCTGGAGGGCCCCTACTCTTCAGTAGGAATGCAGAGGGGTTGCTATAAGAGACTTAACCAGCTGAATCCTCTCTGTTCCTCACAGTGTCAACCAGTTCCACTCTTTCCAAGACCTACCTTACAAGCCCTGAGCCCCTTGACTAGCAGGGCTGACAGCTAGAGCTCACAGTCCAAATCATGGCTAGCCCTGACAGTGTGTGAAGTAGAAACAGCTCCTAGGATACCACACCAGGCAGTAGGTGGGCAGCAGAGGTACTCACCCTCTCCAAGTCCTGCCGCAGGTGTGTGAAGAGCTTGAGGCGGCGATACAGTACGTCCTGCTCCTGCTGGGCCAGGTTGTCCACCTCATCCGTCTTGGCGGTCAACAGCGGCTGGTTGGCATTGGCTTTCCTCTTCAGCTTCCAGTACTGGTAGATGAAATCCACCAGTGCCTCGGCCAGATCCAGCCGCTCAGCCACCTCAGCTGGCTCTACCAGCTCGTAGAAGTCTTCTTCCAGCTGCTGCAACCGCTGTTTGCGTAGGGTCACCTTTTCCAGGTCCTCACTGGCCGGGCTAGGTTCTGCAGCTTCCGAGGTGGGATCACTCCTCGGAACCCCGTCACTGTGCTCCTGGCAGAAGGACTTGAACTTGACCTCATCGTTGTCAGCTAATATAGTCCGCATTTCCAGGCTATGGTCAAAGGCGCATGTGACGTGAAATGCAGTGATGCAGGAAGGCATGGAACACTGGCGGGAGAGGAAGAGCAGTGGTCAAGCTGAACCTGGGGTGCAGGAAGGGAGTCCTGGGATAGGGTGAGGAGGATGTGGGGACCCTAAATAAAATGTGATGGGCTCCCAGTATGGGAATGTGAAGCAAAAGCAGGTGGGAAGCAGGGAGCCCTGAGTGACACACAGGGAGATGGGACTCAGCATTATCTGGGGCCCCTCTGGGGACAAGTTGCTTTTTGGGGGAGACAAAATAACTTTGGGATCAGAAGACATAAAAAAAAAAAAAGGCTGATCTTGGCTCATTACCTCTTCCGCAATACTATCTAAGATAAAAACCACTGTCCCACCTGCCACCCTTCTTTCCTTTTTGACTTCTGGGAGGAGTAGCTGGACTTAGACCCCTTCCTTTCCCTCTTGCCTAGGGAGTCGGGGTCCTGCCCCTTCCTTCCTAGCCTCAGCTGCAGGACTAGCCCATCTGACTATAGTGACCATTTATACTGTAGTCAAAAGGCATTCTGAAGATCTTATGAATGGGTGAAAGGAGCCCAGTAGTACAGTGGACTATGAGCTGGGCTGCTAACAGCAAGGTCAGTAACTTGAATCTACCAGTCACTCCGTGAGAGAAAGATGATGCTTTCTGTTCCCGTAAAGATTCACAGCCTCGGAAACCCTATCTATGCAAGGTCATTAGGAGTCGGAACCGACTCTGCGACACACCACCACCACCACCTGCTTGGCTGCTAATCAGAAGGTACTCTGTGGGGGAGAAACCTGGTCACCTGCTTCTGTAATGTAAAGATTCACAGTTAAGGAAACCCTTTGAAAACGATCATAAAAGGGTAGCTGAGTTGGAAATGACTTAACAACAACAGGTTTGGTTTTTGTTTAAAAATGTTGTTCAGTGCTGTCTAGTCGGTTCCGACTCATAGCAACCCTGTATAGGGTTTCCAAGGACGGCTGTTGAGTTTGAATCCTCGACCTTGCAGCTGAGTGCTTATTCTGTAGCACCACTGTTGTTGTTAAGTACCAGGGAGTTGGTTCCAACTCATAGCGACCCTGTAAACAGGGCTTCCGAGGCTGTAAATCTTTACGGGAGCAGAAAGCCTCATCTTTCTCCCTGCAGAATGGCTGTGTAGTTTCGAACTGCCAACCTTGAGGTTAGCAGCCCGATTCATAACCACTATGCTACCAAAATTCCTTGGATGAGGTTTAATCTACTTTTTGTAATGACAGCTCAAATCCTAGAGAGATGATGAGGGACAAAGGATGACCCCTGCTCTTCTCAGACACACACACAAAACAACCTACAGACCAGAAGTATCAGCATCAGGTGGGAACTCTTGAGAAAATCAAATTCTTGGGCCCCACTCAGTATTAGCAGGGCTCCAGGTGATTCTAATGCATTGAAATTTGGGAACCACTACTGTGGACAGACTCTCTTAGCTTAGCTGAAAGAGACGTTAGATTCTTAACTCCTCTCCCAAGTCAACTTTGATGTCAGAAGGGCGGTCCATCTTCTTACCAGGCCTACAGCACTTAACTCTTAGGAAAAGCCAGAGTCCTCAGTACTGCAGTGGGATGGTGAACCTAAACTCCCTAGGCCCATCAGCAGAGGTGGGTAGAGGATGGTGGCCCATTTCCCATGTGGCTCAGGAGTGCCTGCACTGGCTCATGCATGGGGCCCCAGCAGCAGGGGTGGGTGGAGGACTTAAGTACCTGGATGCAGGTGCCTGTGCACTCCTTACAGAGGCTGCAGGACAGAGCCCAGCGGCTGGCTGGGATGTGTGAGATCTTGGTGATGGGCTCCATCTTCTCGGGGCAGCCGATGCTGACCTGGGTAGGATAAAGGGAGCTACATCAGGACCCTCAGTCCCCAGCCTACCTCCAACGATCCCAAAGGAGGCAGTGGATGGATGTGGGAGAGGTCCTTCCTAACTCTAAACAGCATAACTCAAAGGAACAAGCCCCTCCTAACTGGCTCAAGCCAACCATTTGGGTGAATGTGTGCTCTGTGCTCATTAAATGTCAGAGAATGTGCATCCATGCATGGGGCTGGTTGCTTATGTCTATGACTGGGTGGGCCTTGAGGCAGAGATGCGCCTCTGTGTGTGTGTGCATGAATGCACAGAAGGTCCTCCCTTTCTCCCATAGCCCAGGCCTTTGTTAATAAATATATTCATATATTTTCTATGTTGTTTTCTAGGTACCAGGAAAGAACCTCATGGCAGCATCTCGTCGTGTGACCCATAAGGATGTGCCTCTAACTCAGCCCCTCCTGCTCCTTCTTTGGAACAAGGCCTACCTACCACACTACCCATGTGCCCATCCGGGGACAGGGAACAGTCCCCTTTCACTATCTCTACCTGAGACTGGAAGAGAGGGCCCATAGTCCTGAACAGACCCCTCACATGGAGATCACACCCTGAGGCCGAGAAGGCCCACTTCGGGGACTTCACTAGTTCTTCTGTCCCTACCTTGCCCAGCCCTGAGAACGCTCTGAGGTAGCTCCAGCCCTTAAATACTGGTCTTGTGCAAGTGACTACTGCCGACAGATAACTCCTATCACAGCTGACAGGGCCACATTCTGGATCAGGGCTGTGCTGGAATGTGGTGAACTTTAGCCTTTCACATTTCCTATAAAATGGGATGGGCTTCCTTGAACCCAGGATTTCCACCTGGACTCAGACAGCAGCAAGCCCAGTGTCCAAATCTTTAACTCTGCTCACTGCCTGATTTTCTTTAAGGGCAGTGTCTTATTTTTGTTTTAAATGTGTGACTTTACTTGGGTTGGAACCACTGCCTAGGTTTGGATAGACCCCCAACTTCCTCCCCTATATTCTGCCGCCTGTCCAGACCCCAGACCTGAATCCCTCATAAACTGATGTCCCATGGGAACTTGCACTTGATTTCTGTTCAAGTCTGCAGGCTGTTTCCTGGGGCTGCTGTTGGAGTTCTACCCTGACATCCTTTGTCCATTGTCTCATCCCCAAGGCCCAGCACTCTGCTGTCTGAAGCTTGAGCTCCATTCAGACTCACTTCCCCACCCCCATTCACCTCAGGAATCCACAGGGCACAGCTGACATGCACCCACTTGGTCCCACTTCTGGTGGGCTTCAGGGCCCCTCCTCGCTTGGGGCAGAGCAGGCAGTTTGGCTGGACACCCAGGGCACACGTCCGGCACAACCAGCTGCCTGTGGGCACTTTGAGAATCCCATAGCATGCCTAGGGAGAAAGTAGGGTGTACATGAGTCAGGGATCAATCCACATTAGGCCGGTGCCAAACCCAGTCCTGGATTACATTGCTACGCTGCCTCCACCCTTCTGGAGGAAGCTCTCTGCCTGTATGTTACTGGTCTTGTTCAGTGCCATTGAGCCATTCCAACGCATAGCGACCCTGTGAAGGGTTTCTGAGGAATGGCTGATGGGTTTGAACCGCTGACCTTACAGTTCAAACCAACCTTGAGGTCCAGTGGTTTACACTACAGTGTCACAGCAGGCCTGTCATGTTGTCAAGTGCCACTGAGTTGGTTCTGACTCACAGCAGCCTTGTACAGGGTTTTCAAGGAGTGGCTGGTAAGTCTGAACTGCGGCAAGGCCTGTATATTGTTATTGTTAAGTGCCGTCAAGTCAGTTCCGACTCATAGCGACCCTAAATAGGGTTTCCTAGGAGTGGCTGGGGAGTTTGAACCATTGATCTTGCAGTTGAAACTGACTTGCAATCCAGGGCATTAACCCACAGTGCAAGGCCTGAAGGTTGTTGTTAAGTGTCATCGAGTCACTTCCAACCCATAGTGACCCTATATAGGGCTTCCAAGGAGTGGCTGGTGAGCTTGAACCACTCACCTTATGGTTCAAACTGACTTTGCATTAGCCCACAGCACCATAATAGGACTCCACAAGGACTGTATATTGTTGTTGTTAAGTGCCGGCCAGTCAGTTCTGACCCATAGTGACCCTGTATAGGGTTTCCGAGGAGCAGTTGGTAAGCTTGAATTGCCAACCTTGCAGTTCAAATGACTTTACAGTCCAGTACATTTAACCCACAACTCCAACCAGAACTCCACAAGTCTTGTGTAAAGTGCCTGAAATGTCACCATTCAGGGTTAAGTCCTTTTGTTTTGCTGAGGTCTGCCCCTGGCTGGGGTAGTCACTTTAACCTAGGTTCTCAGTGAGAGATGGACTTTAGGACAATCCATGAATGCTAACCTCAAGTTTGAAACTACCAGACATTCTAAGGGAGACAGATGAGGCTTTCTGCTACTGTGAAGAGTTACAGCCTCAGAAACACTAAGCAGGGTCGCTATGAGTCGGAACCAACTTCACAACACACCACCACCAAAACCATGAAGCTCCTTTAGTTGATACACAACTGAGAAAGCATGCTGCTTTGAGACAAAGCCCAGAATTTTCATATAATTTATATGACTTACACAGAGACCTGTGAGAAGGCTCCTGCTGTCGTACCTTGGGCTTGGAGAGACATGGGGACCTATGAGCTGCTGGGGATATGGCAGGCAGTACACTACCTGCCTATCTGCCAGCCAGTCCCTGACTCTGAGCTCCCAGAAGAAGTCATTCCAACAGCAGCTCAGGGCAAAGTCAAATTCAGAGAGGGGTCCCCTGGGTCCTAGTCAGTTCTTCAAACAAGGTCTGGAGACACAAGAAACCTAGCTCTCTGAAGCCCAAGGTCAAGGGCACGGGAGTGTGTTGGCTAGTCTGCACCTGGTTTATAAGAATGATAACAAATAGTCACAGTCCCTGTCAGTTAGTATGCTATTTTAAGCAAATCACCTGTAAGTAAATTTAAGTCTCTTGTGTTTATTTACAGTTAAGGAAACAGACCTAGAGAGGTTAAGAAACATGTCAAAGTCACACAGCTTATGAAAGGGACAGTCATAATTTGAAACCAGACAGCCTGGCTTTCCTCTCAATCACCTTTCTGCGCTGCCTCTTTAGAAGTATGGTAGGGTGAGGAGCAGGGCCAGGGTAGGAAGGATCAGGGTGCTTCAAGGGAAAGGACTGTGGGGACCACTGGGTTGTCCGGCTGGCACTACAGGGTTCCAGGGTACTCATCTCATCCCCTTTACCCTCCTCCCTAGGGATCTTTGCTCCTAAGACCAGAAGGAAGACCGGTTACAGGTGTGTATTAGGGTGTGCAGAGGGGAGAGAGAACGTTAGGGACAGTGAAGGGCTACCCACCTGGTGCACACAGACGTTGCACTTGTCACAGAAGACCATCTCATTGCCGTCCTCGCCCTCGGGAGAACGGCACACGTCACAGACCACGTCCTCATCATACTCGATGCCCAGTCCCTCCTGCGTCTCGATGGCCCGCGCCATGTTCTGATGGCATAGTGTCTCTAGCTCCTCCAGCACACGCTCTAAGGTCAGCTCGTCTAGGCTCGGCCTCTCTGCAGGAAGGACAGCAGGGGAGGATCTTAGCAGCCTGGGTTGTAGGAAGTCAGGGCACATGTGTGGGAAGGCTCCTACTTATCAGTTGTGTGACCTGGGGAAAAGCAGCCACCATCTCTGGGCCTCAGCAACATCGTCTGTAAATGGAATGGGATGGACCAGGCAATCCCCCAGGTTCCTGTCCATTCATTGTGGTGGTCTGACTTCAGATCACTGCTGCAGAAGACGTGTCCCTGGGACATGGCTGGCTCCATGGAGAAGTCAATGCTTGTACTGTTTATGTTAACTGTCCCTCTTCTCTGGGACATGTTAGGGTGATCAAGCCAGGAAACTCCTACACCAAATGACTCCTGGCTCTATTTGTCACCCTAGATTCACTGTACACTCCCTTATCATTTATGCACTAGTCTCCAGACCCAAGAAAATCAATTATGTGCTATTATTTTTTCCACCTGACAGCTGCAGACACTGAGGCACACAGACATGAAATAATTTCTTCTATCTCTAATGGAGTAGCGATGTCTCCCCTCAGATCTGTACCAAAGTCCTGTCTTAGCCATTGCCCTTCTGAGCTAGAATGCTGAAGTTGGAAACAAAACCCTCCCCGACTCCGATTCCCATTCCCAGCCTGGCGGGTCACCTACCCATCTCCTTGAGCTCGGAGTTGATGAGCTCCAGCCAGTAGGCGTCAGTCTCGTCCAGGTCATAGCGGCTGCCCCCTGGCCAATCAGGCTGGGAGCCCTCACCAAGTTCAGAGTTGCTCGGGGATACCTGGGTAGGGGGGCCTTCCAGCGGTGGGAGGATCCTAGGACATCAAGAAGGGGTGTTGTGAGGGGAGGGACCCTCTGCCTGCCACCCCCCCTGGGTTTAGGGAATTTCAGTGAGAACTCCTGCCCCTCACCAGTTGGTAGGCAAGTGAGGCTGCCAGACCTGGATGCAAAGCAGCTTCCTTCCCCTGCCTGCATTTCCTCATGCCCACCTCCCAACCCTGCAGACTCAGGGGGCTCTAGATAAACAGTAAGGACACAGAAGATCCACAGGGCTCAAGGGCAGAGTTGGGGATGGAAGTGGGCTGACTGAGTCCTTGTTCATGATCTAACCCCTCCTTTCCCCTCTCTCCTGCCTACCAGGGGAGCTGGGTCTGTCTGAGTTAAAGCCCAAGGACCTAGATTTGCCCTGACCAAGTCCTGTTCTGGGACAAGGGGAATCCCTCAAGGCTGGGTCCGAACATTCTCACATGCCCCAGTCCCTCCTTTACCAACAGCCTTAAAATTCCATGGTCTTGAATGGTCTACCTACTCACACAGTTGCAGCCCAGTGACTCTTTGTAGATAAAAGGTCACAACCACCTTGGAGGACATGACATTCATTGCCAATGTACCGTGCCCTTTCTCTCCTTCCATCAGCAAACAGTCTGTCACTACAGTGTTACCCCTGGATACAAAGATGCATCAACTACAGTCCCAGGATTCTACCCCTTGGCTGGCCCTCCCTTGAGACCTTGGCTGTGTTTCCAAGGCAGCTTGGAAGGGTTCTGGTTGCAGGGTATAGTAGACTCAAGTCCCAGCTCCACCCCTTCATGTGTGACTTTAAGCATGCTACTTCTCTGTGGCCCATCCATAAAATGGGATGTAATAAGAGTAGCCACCGCCTTGTTGAGTTGTGTTATGAAGATTAAATGAATACAAGTAAAGCTCTTAGAAAAGTGCCTGGCCCACAGTAAGCCCTCTTTGCATGTGAGAGTGTGCATTCTTAAGACCTCTGGATCTCACTTCTCTCCTTCTGAAGTGGAATATAAGGGCCTTTTGCTTTGGGAGGACATAGTTTCCCCCTTGGCTCTACTGTGTGCTGCCCCTCAGTCCCCAATGCCAGTTCAAAATGCCAACTCCTCCACCCCCCACTGGTTGCCATGGTTATGGCAGCAGAGCCCGGCCTCCATCTGGCCAGCCCTGCCAGGGCGGAGAGGCCCCTCACTTGCCCAGGAGAGGCCTCCTGGGTTGAAGGAAGGGCTGCCAGAGTCTGTGACTCAGCTGCTGACTGGGAGGGGAGGGCAGGACCTTGGATGGCACAGAGACACGCTGAGCTGTGGGGCGGGGGTCTGCGTTCTAGGAAATGCCCCAGGTGTTAGCAAGAGTGGAATGCATGAGAATGAAAGAGACAGAGCCCAAGCAAGGGAGGGAAGGATGCCTAGATGAAGGTGAGGGGTTCAGGGAGAAAGGGTTTGGTGCTATCTTCTTCCACACAAGAGAAACAGATTAAAGAAGACCTTATTTGTTGTTAGGTGCCATCGAGTTGGTACCAAGACTCATAGCAACCTTATGCACAGTAAAATGAAATACTGCCCAATCCTGGGCCAACCTCAGTATTGTTGACCTTGTTGTTGTTGCTATGTGTGTGGAGTCGGTTCCGACCCATAAGGACCCTGTACAGGGTTTCTGAGGCTGTAAATCCTTACGGGAACAGAAAGCCTCATCTTTCGCCTGTGAAACAGCTGTTCGTTTTGAACTGCTGACCCTGAGGTTAGCAGCCCAATTCGTAACCACTACGCTACCAGAGCTCCTTAGGCAATGATAATGGGGCCATCAGGTGATTCGAAATAGAAGCAATATTGATGCTCTTAGTCCAGTAAGTTCTGACTTTCCTTGTGAGACTTGAAACAATACATTCTTTAAAAAACAAATGACAACAAAAAACAGCTCCTGATTATGTTGTGACTAATGCTTTGTTTGTGTCCCAAGCATGTGCATAGTAGGCTTCTGGACAAACCTCCTCTAAATGCCCACCACCTACTGGCCCAACTACCCACAACTGCTGGCCCAGTTGGCTGCCACCTGGCCAGGCCTCTTGAAGCCCAAGATCATGCCCTCTCTGTGGGAAGCTGGAACTACAGGGCTCACACCAGAAAAGGCGTTTCCGATGCTTCCTGGAGTTTTCCCTTCCATCTGCCTCTAGTTCTGAAGGAAGCCCTCTACCATCCTCAGCCACAGGAGCAAGACTAATCAGCGGGAAGGAGGTGGGTGGGGTTAAGATCGGGATGAGTGAGATGGGTCTCTATCCTAGGAGACCAGACATCAGAAGTTGGTGCCATAAGCTGAGTTTTTGGCCACATAAGCAGGTCCTCAGCTCAGTTCATGGTCTCAGGGGAAAACAGGTTCTTCCATGAGGTGGCAGGGAGGGAGGATCAAAGGCAGGCTGGGTAAAGACAATCAGAACATCCCAGGGTATTCGGGTGTAAGGTCTTTCTCTTGGCCTCATGAGGGCACCCTGGGCTTCTTCCTGCGGCCTCTGATTTCCTGAGCCAGCCCTCTAAGCCCCGGTAATCATTTAGGGAAGTCCCCAGAATTTCCCAACTTCCTCATCTATAAGATGGAGAATAATATGCGCTTTATGGGGCTAATATAAAATGAATCTAACAGGTTTAGCTCAGCGTGTACTTGGAGACAGAGTCCTAAGGTCCTATAACAATTGTAATCATGTATGGCCATGCTGGCTTCCAGATGAGGGCCTTGCTTGAAAGACCCCCAGGATGCTGGAGAGGCTGTGATGAAGGGAGAACAGGGCAGGAGCTCATCACAAGAGGGCACCCTTCTCACTCTCAGCCTATCCTCTCAAGAGGCTGGGCAGGCTGGAAGCACCTGGCTTCTGTTGGCTTAGGGCAGTCATGCATATACTGGGAATACACCTAAGCGCCAAAGCTGCCTGAACATGTGCTCTCCTCTTGGTGTCAACAGATAAGGCACCTTACAGGCCGACTGAAGCCAAGCTACTGGTGTGGAAGCATCTGTAGTTAATTACTCAGACTAGCAGATGTTTCCGGAACCACCTGACATTAACATGAAGGAGAAAGGACAAGACTGCTGGATCAAGCCTGATTAGGAAACATCTCTGTGCCCAGCAGGTGGCTGTCCCTCTCCCTGAATTGCCCCAGGCCCTGGCACATGGCAGGCACTGCGGTGTTAGTTAACTTGGCACACATAGTCTCATCTAATCCTCACACAATCACACTGTCAGACAGGTACTGTTAACACACCCATTTTACAGGTGAAGAAACAGGCTCAAAGAGGTCAAGTAATAGCTCTTCAGTAAGCAGAGATGAGGGTGTGAAATTGGCTGGGGTTGTGGCCCAGGTTTCCAGGTTTCTGACCCTAACCAAGGATGTGGAGAATAGATTCATTCTCTAAATCTCATAATACTTCCTAAGACCCAAAGTTCTCCCGAGGGGCCTGGGCTCTCTCATCCTCAGTGGACTCTAGACAAGTGTTGCTCTCCAGAGTAGATGACAGGAGACACCCAATCCTCACATAGCACCTGTGTGATCTCATGCCTAGCACAGGGCTGGCACTGAGCAAGCACCCAGTGTATGTGAGCAAGTCGTAGGGCAGCTGCCAAAGGAAGCAACAATGCCAATGCCAAGGGAGATGATGGTTGCAGTTGTCCCAGGCCTGGTCTATGTGGGCCTGAGCAAGAGTCCTGGAGCTACCCAGCCCAGGACATCAGCCCGCCTCTGTCCCAAGACATGACTTGGAGGGAGGGTTTCCCAGGGTGCAGAAAGAAGTACTTGGCTAAAATGTGCAGCTGGAGGCAAAGCCTATGCCCACATGGTTGCTTCCTGACAAGAGCCCCCAGCCACAGGGACACCCCACAAGACCTGGAATGTTTTGCAACCAATCCTGATGCAGGGGCCTCCCTGGAGTAACAGCTGCTGCATCCTGACTATCAGCTGGGCTAGGCCATTGATTCCCCGCTCCCCAACAAGAACCTTATGAAAGGTTCTATCAGTCAAGAGCCATGGCTGCCTTCAAAGTGACCGAAAGTCTAGACAGTTTCAATAAGACCTGCTTTGGGGACCTAGTTTGGATCTATTTTCAATCTAATCCGTGACCAGTTTTTATGGAGAATCTGCTGTGTGCCAGGTCTTATGCCAAGCATTTTCCACACACTGTTGTGCTAAATCATCTCTACAACCACATGAAAGAGTTGTTGTTGTTGATAAATGCTATTAAGTCGGTTCCGACCCATAGCTAGCCTGTATAGGGTTTCTGAGGAGCTGCTGGTGAGCTTGAACTGCTGGCCTTGTGGTTCAAAGTGACTTTGCAGTCCAGCGCATTAACCATGAGTGTCACACCAGGACTCCACACGAAGTAGTAACAGTAGCTGGTGTTAAGTGACATCGAGTTGGTTCTGACCCATAGTGAACCTGTATAGGGTTTCCAAGGAGTGGCTGGTGAGCTTGAATTGCCGACCTTGTGGTTCAAACCGACCTAGGAATCCAGTGCATTAACCCACAGTGCCACACCACATAAGGTAGCGGTGGTGGTGTGCTGTGGAGTCGGTTCTGACTCAGAGCAACCTTGTATAGGGTTTCCGAGGCAGTAAATCTTTATGGGAACAGAAAGCCTCATCTTTCTCCCGCAGAACAGCTGGTAGTTTTGAACTGGTAACACTATCAGAGCTCCTTATATAAGGTAGTTGTTGTTAAGTGCCATCGAGTCAGTTCTGACCCATAGCGACTCTGTATAGAGTTTCCAAGGAGCAGCTGGTGAGCTTGAACTTGAACCACTGACCTTGGGTTCAAACCGACTTTGCAGTCCAGCGCATTAACCTACATCTCCACACCAAGATCCCATATGAGGTAGTAGCTGTTGTTAATTCCATTTCACAGACAAGGAAACAGAGGCCCAAAGAGATTAAATTTCTGACCCAAGGTCACACTGAATGTGAATAGTAAGCAGGATTTGAACCCAGGCCGTCTGGCTTCAGTTGAGCTCCAGCCTGAGCCCTTAGCCTCAAAGGTCAAGTACAGGTATTTCCGGAACATTTCAGTGGTTCATGGGAGAAAACAATCAAATACCAAAAAAGAAAAGAAGAAGAAAAAAAAAAGAATCGGATGGCAATGGGCTAGAATATGAAGCCTGGAAATAGCTTCCCTGTCCCTATGGGCCCCCAGCCTGGGCCACCCAGCTCACCTCACCACGGGTTCTGGAATGGCCTCTGCCCCAGCGGGCACCTGCACACCTTTCTCCCATTCCTGTCGCCATGGGTCTGCTAGGATATAGTAGTCATCCGGGCTGAGTTGGTATGAGTCCGGGATCTTCATGGCTGTGATCAAGTCTGTCCGAAAAACCTGTCAGGAGCAAGAGTGGCTTCAGACTAAACCCAGCTTTGCAAATAGTTGATGTTCAATAAATGTGTTGACTTGAATTCACGTTTTCTGACCTATAGAAGGACAGAGTTTGAGTGATGGATGAGGGTTAGCACCCAAGGGGAAGGGAAACACTTGCAGAGAAAGGCAAGAACTGAGGAAAACATGGAGAAGCTTCTGTGATGGTTAAGGGAATTTCCACTGAGGCTTTAAAGTATGTTGTGTATTTGCAACCACAGGCACAAGTGGAGATACGAAAGAGGGCAAGACTGAATGCCAGTATCTTATGCAAATAGGTGAGAATGGGCTTCCCATAAGTCAGGTCATTCAAGGTCCCTCAAGAGCAGGGATACCATATCTTCTAACTCACCAGTGACTCCAAATGACTCCCCAGACCCACCGTCCTAGGTGTGTTGAAGAAGGATTATAGGGTTGTCTATTACTGTCATCAAGCTCATCCAAATCTCCCACGAACTCATCCAAATACTCTGATCTGCTGGTTTACTTCTGACACCAGATAACTAAGGAGGAAATGTTTCTTTCCAATGTTTGCTGTCTGTTCCTCCCTGTCCCTTCATCCCAGAACACCTCCAAATCCAGTTCCAGGCAGCACTGGTACTACTGTGGGCTCCATAAAGAGCTGTTGTGGGACTTGATGGCATCTCTAGAAAGCATTTTCTGCAGCATGGCCAGTGGGTATGAAATGATGACCTTGGAGCCAGCAGCCCCACTACTTAGCCTACCGCGTCACCAGGGAACAAGAAGACTCTGTTCCCATAAAGATCTGGAGTCTTAGAAACCCTAAGGAGTAGTTTTACTGTCTTACAGGGTCAATGCGCACTGGAGTTGACTCGATGGTTATGGGTAGGTTCTAGACAGCATGTGACTTGCTCAGATATCAACTTTCCCAGTGGATCATCACTTGACAATCACAAGTTAAGAATTTGTATCTTCGCATCAAGAAAAACCACTTCCAAGAGGAAACCAGGTCTCAGAAGAAACTCCAAGCCCCCTCAACCCCCCACTCCAAATCGACACCACTGCCATGCTTAGAACTGGATCAGTTTACTCAGTCTTCCAGAGGCGCATGATACTTAATTCAGTGATAACCTCGGCCTGCTGAGGGCTCAACTCACTGGCTGTATGGGCCTTATTTGAATCAAGGGCTGTAGCCACAAGGAAAAGACTGAAATGGGTGTACCAGAAGGGCTGGAAGCAGTGTCTTGCAGAAATCTAATTAACATTTGCATCTATCTGGAGAGGGCCCTGGCTTGAAAAAGGTCAAGTTTCTAGAGGAGTCTATTTGCCAATATAATTTAATTGTTAAGACTAACACCCTAACATTTAATTAGGGTACCAGTGTGAAAAAATTAAAATGAGATTACGATTAAAAGCTAATTAAACAGAAGATGGAATGTGGCTAAGATTTCACAGCCCTGATCATTTGCATATCTTATTAGCAAGCAGAAAGACAGCTAATACAAGAGTGAAGACTCAGGCACTGGGTGCTTTTTGGTGCCCTGCCGCAGCCCCCCTTTTCTGGCTGGCGCCTCGGGAGACTCTGCCACGCACAGAAATCAACCTTCAGGAACCTGTTAATGCTGCCGCTCTAGAGAGGCGCAGGTGAACTGGAAACCTCTTGCTCTTCCCTCATTCTGGGCTGTAGCTAAGGGTCATCTTCTTGGAGTTCCTTCCCCTACCATCCTGACTTGAGGGAGTGCAAACTGCCCCAACACGGACACTTTTCAGTCTGTTATTTGTACTTCATTTTCTCCTCAGCATTTACATTCCTGAAAATCATCTGGTTTACTCATGTGTGCTGGTTTCTTGTTTGTCTCCCAGCCACATTTGTCTTGTTAGCTGTAGTCTCAGTGCCTAGCATAGTTACCGGAACATAGTAGGTACTTAGTAAGTAGTGGCTGAGTGAATGAATATATGTGAGAATGAAGGATCTCCCTGGGAAATTATCTGATGAATCCTAGGTTCCCAGCAGGCAGGCTCTTAGGCAGTGCTTTCTGAACCTTTATTGACTGGCTTCAAGGATCCTTGGTGGCACGACACTTAAGCATTCAGCTGCTAAACGTAAGATTGGTAGTTCAAATCACTAAGTGGCTTCATGGGAGAAAGACTTGATGATCTGCTCCCATAAAGATTGTCATTGTTGTTATGTGCTGTGGAGTCGGTTCTGACTCACAGCAACCCTGTACAGGGTTTCCGAGGCTATAAATCTTTATGGGAGCAGAAAGCCTCATCTTTTTCCCGCGGAGCAGCTCGTAGTTTCGAACTGCTGATCTTAAGCCAGTACACTACCAGAGCTCCTTCCATAAAGATTACAGTCTAGAAAACACTGTGGAGCAGCTCTACTCCGTCACATGGGGCTGGAAATCAACTCAGTGGCATACCACAACAGCACTGACTGAGACACCTTGTGGATACATTTAGAGGCTGAAATCCCCAACTCTATGAACCACAATGCTCTGTAGGGACTGAAGCCCAAGGACCAGTGCTCACACCAAGCTGGTGCTAGAGTGCCAAGCTACACCATCAGGGTATGGGGTGTGGTGGGATAGGGAGGGATATGGTGGCCCTGACCTAGGCACAGGCTGGGCACCAAGAACCTAAAGAAAGAAGGGACCCTTGGCTTAACTTAAGAAGTCCCTTACATTGCAGTCAGGCAGAGTGCAGATGGGGAAGACAGGAGTTTGGTTCCAACAGGAACCCTAGTTTTATCCTGGGTCACTGGGGAGCAAGTGACAGACTACTGACTGTTTCAGGCAGAGGGCTCCTGCAAGCCCAGGGAGACCACATGCTCATGATGACATCAGAGCACTGGGTACCAAGTTATCAGTCTAATTAAGTAAAGATTAATCCGTTATTAATCTTTAACTCTGTGACGCAAGCACTACCATTATTCTAGTTCTACAGGTGAGAAGCCTGGGACTCAGGTGAGTTAGTTAGGCAACCTCTCCGTGGTCCTGTTGTTGTTGTTAATGCCCTTGAGTCACTTCTGATTCACAGTGACCCTGTATAGGCTTTCCAAGGAGTAGCTGGTAGGTTTGAACCATCAACTTTGTGGACAGCAATCCAGTGCTGATCCTAAAGCCAGACTGGAAATGGCAAAGGAGCCCAGGACAACACAACTCCTACAACCTCCCTAACCCTTCTGGCCATGGGCTCACTGACGTTTTCAGGCTTGGCTTAATACTTTCTGGGCTAACTTTAAGTCAAATCAGACGGCTCCCCAAAGGCTGGAAAATGACAAGTGATCCTTGCAGGTCCTAAGCCCTGCAGTGGTTCTCCCTCTTCCCTCAAGAAGAACTGCAGGCTCCTCACTAGAACCTACCTGGCTCTGTGGCCACACAGGTGCACTTACCACCTCTCAAGTATTCTTTGCCCTGTGCACATGTTGTACCCTGCCTGGAACATTCTTCTCCCTTGCCAAATGGGTTGGCTCATTTCATCTTTAAGATCTCACTCCAGCCCACATCTGCTCTGGGAAGCCTTCCTCAGAGTCCAGGCTGGGGTCTGTGCCTTGTGGGAGTGCTACAGCACCTGTATTGCAATCTCCTGGTTTCTTGCTATGTCTTCATCATTACAAGATAAATTCAGTGAAGTCAGGTGGGGTCTGGCTGGGCCTTGCATTGGATCCCAATGGATCTACCACCACTTTTCCTTGGCTGCTGCTCCAGGCCATGGTTGGTCAGGGCTGGGCAGCTAGGTATTACATACCTATCAAAATAGCCTCTGTACATTAATATAAAAGATGCCACGGTGACCCAATTTTAATCTAAATACCTTTTTGTTTTGAATTACCAGGGGTTAGGCTTAGAAAAAAAGCTCAATGATTCTCTTAAAACTTCTTTGAATTATTTATGAAAACTGATTAAGAAATAAGATGGACATTGATAGGCTGGAGACCTTGGCATCATTAGAAAGTTGGGAGTTGGAAAGCAAGCCCTTTTCTTGAGGATGTTGCCTCTCTTTTGGCAGAAATTGACAAATTGTCTTTAAAGGTCTGCTGCCTAGCAACTAAGTTCCAGCAAACTGCTTGAGAGATGTTAACTAGCTTCTTCAAACAGTATGAAAAATATTTAAAGGTCTCAGACACTAATAACTAATGGGAATACCACGGATATAATGCAGGCTGAAGACCCTACTCTGTCCAGCTGCAGGGACATTGAACACACTGCCTTTTGTTTGCCCTCTGGTTCCTCTTCCTCTTCCTCTGAGACTGAAGACTCTACAACCACTGAAATCTCTAATTGCCTGCACCTATCTCCCCAGGAAGAATGAAAAGCAAGCTCTGCAATGGAATCTGAGTGACCTCCAAAAGCAAATAAAGATAACACCAGTCAACTCCCAATGTGAGCTGACCCCAGTGCCTATAGGCACCAAGGTAAGAATTTTTAGACCAGATTGCAAGATTCATGGATGTTATCTGAACATTTAATCCTTGTTTTCGGTTTCCTTTTCTCAAGAAGTAAATTATCGTATCAAAGAATATCTCAAACGAAGATGCACCAAAAAACACAGATGAATGGTTTAAGGAAAGGATCCAGTATCATCGCAACGATAAATGATTTGTTTAATGGTCAATACCTCTACTAGTCAAGCTTCAAGAAAGAAGAAACTTAATATATGTCCTGCTTGTCATGTCTGTTTGCGGCACAGTGCCTGCCACACGCACAGTGCTCAAAACAGGCTTGTGGAATGAGTGAGCAGATGAAAGAACAAACCTCAGGATTCGTCCGAAACGCAAACCAAAAACCAAACCCGCTGTATAGGGTTTCCAAGACTGTATAGCTTTATGGGAGCAGACAGCCTTATCTTTCTCCCACGGAGCAGTTGGTGGGATTAACTGCCAACCTTGAAGTTAGCAACCCAACACCTACCTAAACCATAGCGCCCCCAGAATTCTCCTGAAGTGGATTAAATTCTGAAGCTTCCTGTTCTGTCACAAAAAAAGTGAGTAGAGACAGTGT